GTACATTATATATATGTAACTAGGGCCGGCCCGCCCTACGGGCGGGATATATTTCACCTATGATCTAAGTTATTATATTTTATATTCCCTCCGTTTCTTAATATATGATGTTTTGGGTTGGTGAAAAAAATTAACAAATTTACATTATTCTAAAAAGCACTTTAAAAGATATAATATTATAATCATTCAACCAATTAGAAAAAGACTATAAAATTTTATTGGTTGAACATTTTTCAATAAATTAAAGTTAACTTTAAAACCTCAAAAGATACCTTAAAACTTCAAAACATCATATATTTTAAAACAATTTAAACCTTCTAAAACATCATATAATTTGAAACGGAGGGAGTATAATTTTATGGTTTTTGTTTTAGATTCACTTTTTCAAAAATTGTGTGAGACATACTATTTTATTAATTTAAATGGTTGATTAGTTTGTTCGTAAGTAATTTTGGTTTTGATTTTTTGATTCTTAGTTGAATAATTTGTATTTAATAACTAATGTGTATGACTCTTTTTGAAGTTCTTGGAATAGTTGAATATAATTTTGAATTGAATATTATTGGCTAACATATAAAATATAATCTTTTCAATAATTTTAACTTACATTACTATATATTGACAATATTTATTATGTTTTGTTATTGAATACAATTATTTCTTTTGTTTATTAGATATTAGGGAAAACCCGCGCTTCGCGCATGAATTTTAACTTGAGTTTGGATTGACATTTTTTTTTGTTTCAAAAAGAGTTTAATAACTAATGTGTTTGACTCTTTTTGAAACAATATGTGGTTGACTAAACTGCATAATAACATAGTTTTAATTCTCTAAATAAAATAATACTATTTTTTTATGATGTGTAATTACTTTATTTTAGTTAATTTCTTTTAGATCATCAACTAATATTATATCTGCCTTTATGTGTTATTTGTAAGGTTGTTGTATATTGAAGCATTTGTTTGGATATTATAACTATTTACCTAAAAAAAATTGGTGTAATATTTACTTTAACTTTAAAGTGCAATAGATTGTGTTTTGGTGCTATTATGCTTTCCTTGAGGCTGTGTCGCTATTTAGTGCCAGTAATTTTATGATATTTTTATTTCATTTATATATTAGATCATGTTATCTTTTTAAAAAATTTGCTTACGATGTTGTGATTTTCTCTTTTTTTTTTTTGTTAATTTTTTTATAGCTCAGTCTCATAACTATAAAAGAGAAATAAGTATTTGTGAGATTTTATTTTTGTCGAAGTTTTATAAAACATGAAAATTATATCATATGTGGATATTACTTTGTTCTTGATGTTTTCTTTATTTATTTTTGTCTTATAATTGTTTTATTTTCCTCTTTTTGTTATAAATTTTTTGATATTTTTGCATGTGTAAATATTTTGGGATTAGATTATGTGCTTTCACTAATTTTTTATTTATTCGCTAATTTTCTTTACTAAATTCAAGTTGATTTAAGTAATTTTTACTGTTTTATTTTTAAAATATCTTCTTATTTTATTTTTCAAACTGATTTTGTTAAAAACTATTTATTTTGATTATTTATTAATCTTTTCTTTCCATCATTTATTTTTTGTGAGTTACTTTCTCTAATTTTGAGCTTAGTGAAAACAAATTTCAAGAGATTCATTTTCCCCTCTTTGGCTTAGATTTGATGAAACGTCAAAAAGCAACATTGTAAATGTTTTTTTCTTTTTTTTTTGCTTTGATAGATTTATCTATTTATTTTAAAAGATTGTATTTTCTAATTGTAATATGTAACTTTTGTCAAGTTGTATTATGTATTTTAACTAAATAGTTTTTTGTACTATTTGTTCATCTTGTTAGTTTTTGTTTTTGAAACTTATTTTTCTAAAAAAAAATTGTGAAGATATGTTAGTACCTTTCAGTGGTAGCGGTTTTCCTTTTTGAGCTCCTCTAGTCTGAGTTTCTATTTTCAGAGGCTGTTATGCACTTGTAAAGAGCTAAAGTGTTTGTGGTCCCACATCATGTTCAGCCATGTAAGATGCATATTCTCTTAACGCACAAACTTAGTGTTCATTTATACCATCGTTGTTAATACGTTAGAGGAAGGGGTAAGGAATCTTGTATCATCAAACGAAGGATTACCATTTCTACGGCGATCATTCAAAAGACGCCACCTGCCTACATTTTTCATTGACGCTCTTGTTAGGGTGAACCGATGTTATCATTAGTTGAATGCACCCTTGAGTGAATTATAATTAAATTATTTGTCTTTACAGACTTTTAATAACTGTGGTGATTGGCACTTGCCTTTCTGGCTTCCTTTGACTCTTTTAGATGATGACAATTTTTTCTTAGTAGTTGAGCTTCTCTTCCGTCGGCTTTTGTGAATGAAAAATAAAAACTCATGACAGTAAATGTAAAACATCCGTTTAAATCATTTTATTAACTTAAGGTTTCCAATATTCTTTTGTTCAACAGGCCTGTTATATTGGACATATTGGTGTATGTTTGCCGGCGGAGATTTTGGTCATATAACCGTGGCTAACTTCGGTGACCTTCTTTACCACCAGCAAGTTATTGAAAAATTGCAGTGACCACCATTGACAAATCTGTGTTGCATAAAACTTGCATTTAGATTCCCGATCTTCTGATCGTTGATCGGCATTCGGGGGAAGTGGATGACTTTGGTGACCATCTGGTTTTGTTGCTCGATGGTCACGGTTTCCTCTCTACACTAACGTTTTCTTGACTATAACTTCTGTAGGTGGAGCTTAGTTAGATTAACGTGTTGATGTATTCAACTGGATCTTTGTTACTTTAAAGGCAAGTAAAGAGTTGTTGGTCGTTTGTCTACCGTTAAACTAATACAACTGGTTTCGTATGATAGTTATCGATCTCCTTCTTGATTTATCAATCTTGTTTTCTTTTTATTCTTTTGTCTTGCTGATCGAAAGGAAGCTTGGGAAGCTGGAATATTAATCTTTCTAAATGAGAAATATTAATCTTTCTAAGACAGAACACCTATGCTATACTTACTTTCATCTCTGCGGTTATGCCTACCAAACCAAGTAGTATACATACATATGCTTACCATTTCTGCAACATAAAAAATTGGAATCATGGGAAGAGCTGAATCTACTAAACTATAAAATATTCAACGATCCACTCACTGATGTTGATCAACATAAACCCAATTGGTAATACCAACTTAGTCAAAACGAAGTTACAGCTCAGAAACTACACTGAAACAATAACATCTAACAAACCCTAAAAACGGATAGGTTCTCAAATAATGTGGAACCAAATCAACTGTATTTCTCAACTGGTATACGTTTGATCGCTGTTTTACCTTCTGGGTTCTGCTCAATTTTTGGTAGTTTCTGGAATTTCAAATCGAGGTCTCAGTTTTACTTCCTGTTGTAATTTTTGACTCTTTCTTGTGTGTTGTGATGAGGTCGGCATCAGTCAATCCTTATGAAGGAAGGGACTTATCAGTTTCACTCTCTGTTTATAAAAGTTTGAATCTTTCTTACGTGTTTATGATGATAATTTCAGAAGAGAGGATTCTACTCACTTAGGCTTTCCCTATACAACCTATAAATCAACTCGAGCCATGACTTCTTCTACTGGAATCGTAGCGAAAGTGTTTGAATTATGAATAATATAAGGAGTGGAAATTTCGTAAAGAGAAGTGGAGAAGACTTGGTCACCCAAAAAACTTGTACGAAGAAAACGATTGATGGTGCAATGGAATTATATAAAAAAAAAGACATGATACAAACCCTGGAAATCTTACCATTGTTGAAATAGGAGAACTCGAGAGTCAGATTAAGCTTTTAGTTTATTTTCTCAGTATAAATAACTTAATTCAAGCCCAACAATGAAAAGACAAATAACAAATTAAGAAATCCAGCCCACAATGAAACCCAAATAGAAAGAAACATGTTTTTAAAAAATCGAACAGTGTCACATTTTCCTTCACTTAATTTCTGACGTGGCAGCATAAGGTGAGGGAAAACCTTCTTTTATATAAATAGATAACCCAATGAGAGGATAACATTGAACTTTATGTCACTTCCAGTTTTCCACTTTCAGTGGCACCCATATCTACAACAGAAGCAAAAAACTAACAGGGAATACTGACATAATCATGACTGGTAAGTTAATGGAAGTAGTCCAAACAAACTTCTAGCGACTTTTACTAATGTTTACAGTAATGTTCAAAAACCCGATATCAGGAATTGATCCCTCATCCCTGCAAATGAGACAATTCAAATATGTTTTGGAAGGTTTTGGACACACTACAAATTATTTAGGCTCCAAACCTGTTAAAAACTTATAGAGCAAACAACTATTAGCTCAAACTTAAAATACAAACAGAGATGTTAATTCATATATGATAGGCGTAACTTACATTAATAGAATTTCCATGGAACTGAGATAGTCTGCTAGGTCCAACAAAGAAGCAACTCCAAAAGTAAGACTCGTGACGCAGCCGGATGACAAGAGTAGTTCTGTATCTCTAAACCAAAGCAAACCAATCATGCACATTAGGAGTGTATAATCTCCACATAAAAACTTGTAACGTACTAAAATCCAATAGACATATACAATTCTATAACACATATGAGTTTTCTTCATCAAAAAGCTACTCTATGATAATATTTCAAGTGGAAAACAGATTGTACTCATTCACCTGAAAATTAGCAAGTCTTAGTTCATCAGGCACATAGATTTGGTGAAGAGTATGTTTGAGAAGAGAGATGGTACCAGCTTGGAAAGGACACTTTTCCGATTTCGATTTGCAGACATAAGAATCATAGTTTAGAGATAAAACTCATTATTCAACGATATTCCTCATATCGTCTTTTTGTTTCACTGATTTGTTCTTATCTATTATCTCTGACGCGTCGGATAAGATGTTCTTCTTGGTGATGCTCGCGAGAATGGCATCAAACTCTGACAAGATAGAGTTTACAATTTGGTTAATATACTATTCAAAAGAGAGAGAGAGAAAGAGGTTAGAGTAAAAAAGTGTATAGCTATTTTACAGAGATGATTGCTTGAGTTCGTAGGAGGCGAAGAGCTAGGGAGGAGGAGCAGCAGGTAGATACCTAAAGAAGATGGGCCATATAGGAAAATCCACAAAAGAAATAAACATTAGTAGCCCAAATTGAATTAAAAAAAAACCTAGATTTTCACGTAAAAGAGAGAGGACAGGTGGCAAAAAACGGCCCTATGATATTTGCTGATGTGGACGTAGGAGAAGGGAAAAATCTCTGCTTTATTATATAAGATAAGATATGACTTCTGTCCGCTGTCCCTTTGTTTCAAAACATAAAGAATTGTTCGTGTATATTACTAAAAAATCATGCCAGAGTTGTTGCTGTATATCACTAAATTATCAGGGAGAAATTTACCTTTATTTGGAGCTGTAAAAACTGGACATAAATCGATAATCTCATAGACTATTGATGCTTTGTCTGTCAGTTAATTATTGACCAGAGAATGCATTAGCTTCTTCTGGTAATGGTATTTCTCCTCTGTTTTCGTCTTATCTCAGCACAATTATGCATATACAGCCATCTGTGCCACCGATCTTTGAGTTTAGTTTTTCTTATACAACGTCTGTTCAGACATATGAAACCAAAACGATTTCAATATGATTCTTAAACGCATATATCTACTAATTCTCATCCTGATCTACAAAATAGAAGTTCGATTTTGATAAATCTATAATTAGGAAAAGCGTAGGTATCAGAGACATCAATAACAAAAACTGTTCTTCTAAAAGATATAAGTTTTGAAAACTAACCTTGATGAAGTCGAGGTGGTTGAGTTATGAAATTCCGATCTCAAACAGATTTGCTCTATCAGTGGATATTGCAGAGAAAACGATGATGAGAGTTTGTTGATAAGCTGAAACGCTTTATTTTTTTTTGCTCTACGGTCTTTTAGAAAAAGGCGAAAATTTAGTTAGGTTTTCACATTAATTTACTTTCCCGGACTAATCTGTTTACTATTATATGGTCCATTAAAAAGAGCATAGTATTTTTTTATGTTTTGGTCCACTTTAAATTATAAATTCATTCTAAATAATTTAAACTAATAATTTCAGTTAGATATTTTCTCTATTTATTGTTTTCTAATTTTGGTTTCATTGTTATTATTTTTTTTCTAAATAATTTTTTTTTTAAAAAAAGTTCAATCACAATTTTCAACTTTTTATAGAAAAGTTTTACGATTTTACTGTTTACTTTTACAAAGAAACTAAAAAACACGACAAATGAAAAACACAATCTTATTGTTTATAAGTGAACACTAATCACATTTAAAAATGTCAATCTTGAATAACATATGAATCTAGAACATATAAACCATCTAAACAATTAAATTTGGCGCATTTACAAAAGTTTTATGATTATGAAGAACAAACATCCGCACAAACGTGTTTTCAAATGAAACCTTTAAATAAAACCAATAAATTATTATCTTTTAAAAATTAAATATCATAAAAAAGCACCTATGCTATATTAGCAAAAAAATCAATCTCATATTTTATAACAGAAGACTAATCACATATCGTTAAAAACAATTATAAGTTTAAACAATTATATTTATCGCATTTCAAAAATTAAAAACATATTATTACCAAAGACAAACACCCGCGCGGGCGCGCGGGTCAATAGCTAATTATATATTTAATTATCTCGAGTTAAGGTCTCATCGTCAGTTAACTTCTTTCCAGGCATAAAGCTGACACAAAATAATTTGGAAGAGATGTATTGTTACTTATTCTAGTAATTTCTCAAAACAATCAAGGATTCACGACAATCCAAACTCGGCAACCAAAACTAAAATTCCCACAAAATCCCTCATAGACGACCATGTCAACTGCCTAAAACCAATATCATATGCAATCAACAACTTTGGAAAGGGAAACCACATACCGAATTTGGTAAAAAGGACTCGTTAAGAGCCATGAATCCTGAAGTTGAACTCAATGGACAATCAAACGAGTTCAGAATTATTATCTCAATTCTACTTAAAGCACCATGAAGATCACATAGATCCCGATGCGATGCTTCATCAAAAACCGAAGGCCCAACTTTATTCGGCTTACAAGGTGCAGAAGCCTGTTACCTCACTGACAACAAACACAATGACCACCTCAAGAAGAGCCGTAAGATAACCCACCTCGAGTCGTCTCTCAAGGAGCCAAAGATTCAGCCAAGACAGCCACACTCGTCGGCTCTGAACAGCCAAAGACTCTGCCAAATCAGTCATGTTCACTAACTGAGAAGAAATGGTGGTCACATCGATGATCGGAGACGAAAAACAAGGAGAAGAGAGGGGAGTATCAAATATTCTAGTACATGATGACGTAGACGAAGAACCATATGATCACGAAGAACTCGATTCAACTTCAATAGAGCTCAACCTTTCAAATAAAGATCGAACAAAGAACATCAACAAAAGAGATTTGGAGCGAGACCAAACAGAAAATAAAATAGGAGAATCTGAATCAAGCGCACTGAAGATATTTATAAGATCAGAAAATAAGTGAACGGTCGCATCCGTCTGACATGAAAAGACGCTTTGTCTCCCACAAGCTATCCACTAAGAGGAACATTATAGGCAGGCCCTTAAGGTGAATACACGGAGACCGAGGGAGAAAAAGAGGGAAAATCCCTTATTTAAGGGCTGTCCCTTAAGAAAACCTGACAAAAAAAAAAAAAAACTAAACTTAAGGAACTTTTCCCAGTCCCTCTGATAATCTTGCTCTATGAGACTAAAAACCTTAAAACTCACAGCCAAATGGGCCATTCTACAACGTCAACAAACATCTGAAGACAAATTCGTTGGATTCACAACTTCCAATGAATCGGGGGCGGGGGAATTTATTGTTAGAGGTGGACTTCACTCTTCTATCAATGTACAGTCCACTTAACTCACATGCTCGGCCAAGAAGAAAGCCCGGCTCGCTAAAAGATAAAACCTGACGAAAAGCGACATGACGAGCTCGCACTCATACCTAAACAGAAGCGTGCTTAAACGATCAAGAAGTAAATTTGATGCAATCTTACCAGAATTTAATACCTATGGGACGACGCGAGCTGCATCCAAGTCGTAGGGAACAGTGAACTCACTTGACAAGACAAAGTATGTGACATGAAAAACAAGGACAACGGTCACCTCTTCCACATTGCTGAAATATCTCCTCCTCTACTCTAAGCTCTCACCCATAGCCTCCTTTAGCTCTGTCATCAACAATCTCACAACCCACCAGCCACACAAATCCACTTCGCTTACATCCACCATCTCCTCGTCCACACCTTCTCCATCATCAAATCCTCACTGTCCACTACCACCTCCACTGTCAGCTCCACACAATCACCTCACAACCCTCCAGCCACACAATCCAATTTGGTTTTGATCCACAGTCTCCTCCACCATGCTGCCCAAAGATCCCCTCCTCTACTCTTAGCTCTCACTCATAGCCTCGTTGGCTCCGCCATCAACTACCTCACAGCCCAGCCGCCACAAAACCCACTTCGGTTGCATCCACCATCTCTTCCTCCTAACGTCAACAGTCATAGTTGATGGACCACCGACAACATGGTCTCAGCTACGTTCGGTTGTGTGTCTCTGATATTACTTGGTGACTCCAAAAAGACAAGCAAAGGTGATGGCAGCAGCTTGGCTTTCTGGTGATGGATGGTTCATGATGGTGATTAATATCACTGTCACGTCTCATCTTCGATAATAACATATGAATAACACCAAAAGAGGATAAGAAGAAGCTGGTGTAGATAAATGATGAAGATGATGTATTGTGGTGGAGGCGGTGATGATTTGTTCAATAATGAAACTATGTATAAAGTCGATGACGAAATGTGTATATGTGATTATATACAAACTTGTTGCACAAGTAGTAATAAAAAGAAATTTGGTTTGGTCCTGGAAATCAATCTTAAAATTAATAACAAGAAACAAACTCTGAATGTTACAAAATTTTAATAGTTAATTAGTTAGGATGAAGAATAACGACAGAGATTGTGGTGTTTCAAAGATATATTGGACACTCATCATCTCAAGAGTGTGTGGCAAATGGGATGGAATGTGTGTTTTAGTAATATTAGAAAGTCAAAATGTGTCTATAGGTATAATTTTCTCTTTAATCTTTATGTTTCGTTACAAAATTTAGCTTAATTATTATTATTCTCTTTGATTCAAAGAGGTTGTCTCTGAGTTTCAACAATGTTATTTCCAATCAAATTTAATCTTCACAAATCACATAAAATTTTATAAACATGGACAATTTTTCTAAGAAAAATTTCCACAGTGAAAATTTTAATCTGTTTTAAAGTTACTGGCGTAACTAAATTGCAAAAGAAAAACAAACGAAAATATAACTTTTGAACAGAATTTTTCCTATCTTCGCTTATTCACCACAGTTATTTTTAACGTACTTTAATCACACCACAAGAAATTCGACCAAATCAAGCCCAATTCACTGAATGAAGTGACTGAAGTCTGAACACAAATACTCCTAAATCAATCATTACATTTTGGTGGATACCATTTTGTTGGAGTATATGTCAAAACTACTTTAAGTTAACTAATTTAATAAACAGCTAGGCTAGTGTTTGTGGTTTTGAGTGTTTTCCACAACAACCAATCTGAATTAAAACCTAAAGCATACAAGTCAGGAAGCAAAAAAATGGACGTAAATGAATAAAATAACAATAGGATACTGACTAAAAGTCAACCCCACCAAGCTGGCGAAGACAAAACTTCAACGATTAAGTTAAAACAGGGTCCCACTTCTCAATCAGATCTTACGGCTGACGACCAAAGTTTGACCCGATGCTCTTTCATCAACTGGACGTCTTATCATTTTTGTTATTAAATTTGTCTCCCCATCCGGAAAAGGTTAAAAACATTTTGTATTTTGTATTTCCAAGAAATCACATGCATTCTGCCTCAGAGGACCAGAGTTTGAGATCATGAAATCACATGTACAATTTTCATATATCTGAGATCCGGTTAGATTATTCTATTTTATTAGTTGTTTAATGATTGAAAACTCATAAAATTCATATTTGTAACTCTTTGTATTTGAGAGGAATTTCAATTATAGCACAAATCTAATACTACCTCCGTTCTATAATATAGGATGTTTTACCAAAAACACAAGAATCAAGAAACTTACTTTCTACCAAATAATAATAGATATTTATGGTGGATAAACCAATCATAAATAATACAGTAAAATCTTATTGGTCAATCAATTTTTAATAAAGTTAAAGTACCTTAAAACTATCAAAACATCCTATATTTTGGAACA